TGTGTGGGAAGGGGTGCTGCTAGTGGTGGTAGTGTGCAGGAAGGGGTGCTAGTGGTGGTAGTGTGAAGGAAGGGTGCTAGTGGTGGTGAGTGTGAAGGAAGGAGTGCTAGTGGTGGTGTGAAGGAAGGGGTGCTAGTGGTGGTGGTGTGAAGGAAGGGGTGCTAGTAGTGGGTGGTAGTGTGAAGGAAGGTGCTAGTGGTGGAGGTGTGAAGGAAGGAGTGCTAGTGGTGGTAATGTGCAGGAAGGGGTGCTAGTGGTGGTGGTGGGAGGAAGGGGTGCTAAGTGGTGGTAGTGTGCAGGAAGGGTGCTAGTGGTGGTAGTGTGAAGGAGTACTGAGTGAGGTGGTAGTGGTGAAGGAAGGGGTGCTGAGTGGTGGTAGTGTGAAAGGAAAGAGGTGCTGAGTGGTGGTAGTGTGCAGGAAGGAGTGCTAGTAGGTGGTGAGTGTAGGAAGGAGGTGCTAGTGGTGGTAGTGTGGGGAAGGAAGGAGTGCTAGTGGTGGTGGAGTGTGAAGGAAAGGTGCTAGTGGTGGTGAGTGGTGGGAAGGGGTGCGCTAGTGGTGGTAGTGTGAAGGAAGGGGTGCTAGTGGGTGGTAATGTGAAGGAGTGCTAGTGGTGGTGAGTGTGCAGGAAGGGGTGCTAGTGGTGGTAGTGTGCAGGAAGGGGTGCTAGTGGTGGTAGTGTGAAGGAAGGGGTGCTGGTGTGAAGGAAGGGGTGCTGAGTGTGAAGGAAGGGTGCTGAGTGTGAAGGAAGGAGTGCTAGTGGTGGTAGTGTGCAGGAAGGGGTGCTAGTATGGTGGTAGTGTGAAGGAAGGAGTGCTAGTGGTGGTGAGTGAAGGAAGAGGTGCTGAGTGGTGCTTGGTAGTGTGAAGGAAGGGGTGCTAGTGGTGGTAGTGTGAAGGAAGGAGTGCTAGTGGTGGTAGTGTGCAGGAAGGGTGCTGGAAAGTGGTGGTGAGTGTGAAGGAAGGGTGCTAGTGGTGGTAGTGTGAAAGGAAGGGGTGCTAGTGGTGGTAGTGTGTGCAGGAAGGGGTGCTAGTGGTGGTAGTGTGCAGGAAGGGGTGCTAGTGGTGGTAGTGTGAAGGGAAGGGTGCTAGTGGTGGTAGTGTGAAGGAAGGAGTGCTAGTGGTGGTGAGTGTGCAGGAAGGGGGTGCTAGTGGTGGTAGTGTGCAGGAAGGGGTGCTAGTGGTGGTAGTGTGCAGGAAGGGTGCTGGTGTGAAGGAAGGGGTGCTAGTGTGAAGGAGGAAGGAGGTGCTGGTGTGAAGGAAGGGGTGCTAGTGGTGGTAGTGTGCAGGAAGGGGTGCTAGTGAGGTGGGTGTAGTGTGCAGGAAGGGGTGCTAGTGGTGGTAGTGTGAAGGAGAAGGGAGTGCTAGTGGTGGTAGTGTGAAGGAAGGGGTGCTAGTGGGGTGGTGTGAAGGAAGGAGTGCTAGTGGTGGTAGTGTGAAGGAAAGGGGTGCTAGTGGTGGTGGTGTGAAAGAAGGGGTGCACTGAGTGGTGGTAGTGTGAAGGAAGGGGTGCTGAGTGTGAAAAGAAGGGTGCTAGTGTGAAGGAAGGTGCTAGTGTGAAGGGAGGTGCTAAGTGGTGGTAAGTGTGCAGGAAGGGGTGCTAGTGGTGGTAGTGTGCAGGAAGGGGTGCTGGTGGTGGTAGTGTGCAGGAAGGGGTGCTGAGTGTGAAGGAAGAGTGCTAGTGTGAAGGAAGGGTGCTAGTGTGAAGGAAGGAGTGCTAGTGGTGGTAGTGTGCAGGAAGGGTGCTAGTGGTGGTAGTGTGCAGGAAGGGGTGCTAGTGGTGGTAGTGTGAAGGAAGGAGTGCTAGTGGTGGTAGTGTGAAGGAAGGGAGGTGCTAGTGGTGGTGATGTGAAGGAAGGGTGCTAGTGGTGGTGGTGTGCAGGAAGGGGTGCTAGTGGTGGTGAAAAGGTGTGGAAGGGAGTGCTAGTGGAGGTGGTGTGTGCAGGAGGGTGCTGGTGTGAAAGAAGGAAGGGTGCTAGTGTGAAGGAAGGGAGTGCTTGGAGTGTGAAGGAAGGAGTGCTGAGTGGTGGTAGTGTGCAGGAAGGTGCTAGTGGTGGTAGTGTGCAGGAAGGGTGCTGCTAGGTGGTAGTGTGAGGAAGGGGTGCTAGTGTGAAGGAAGGAGTGCTAGTGTGAAGGAAGGAGTGCTAGTGTGAGGAAGGAGTGCTAGTGGTGGTAGTGTGTGCAGGAAGGGGTGCTAGTGGTGGGCAGGTGTGAAGGAAGGGTGGTAGTGTGAAGGAAGGAGGCTAGTAAGCAGGGGAAGGTGTATAGTGGGAAGGGTGCTAGTGTAAAAGATGGGTGCTAGTAAGACTGGGTGCTAGTGAAAGAAGGGGGTGCTGTGTGAAAGAAGGGGCTAGTGTGAAAGAAGGGCAGGAAAGAAGGGTGCTAGTGTGAAAGAAGGTGCTAGTGTGAAGGAAGGGGTGCTAGTAAGAAAGATGAGTGGTGGTAGTGCAGGAAGGGAAGAAAGGAGTTAGTGATGGAAGTGTGTGCAGTGTAGCTAAGAGTGCTGAAGGGGTGAAGTGAAGAAGGTGCTAGTGTGAAAGCTGAATAAGCAGGAAAGAAGGGTTAGTGTAAAAGAAGGGGTGCTAGTGTAATGAAGGAAAAGGCTAGGTGTGAAGGGGTGCTAGGTGAAAGAAGGGGTAGAAGTAATGAAGGAAGGGTAGTATGTAAAGAAGGAATAGAAGGAAGGTGCTAGTGAAGGAAGGAAGCAAGGGGTGGTGAAGAAGGGTTAGTGTGAAGGAAGGGTGCTAGTGTGAAAGAAGGAGAGAAGGTGAAAGAAGAACTAGTGAAAGAAGGGGCAAGCAGTGTGAGTGAAGGGTGCTAGTGAAAGAAGGTGTTAGTAGAAGGAAGGGTGCTAGTGAAAAAGGTGCTAGCAAGGAAGGAAGGTGTGAGAAGAGTGTTAGTGAAAGAAGGTGCAGGTGAGACAGGGTGCTGAGTGGTAGAAGGGTGCGGTAAAGGTGCA